GGTTTTCGTATATATACAGTTATCTCCCCCTAAATTTCGTTTTGGACATAACTGTAGCCCAATTTGACCCATCCAAAATATCCAGTTTCGCTCTCTGCACCCCTGGAATATTGTCATAGCAAAATCAAAGGCTCGGTGTGCATCACCTTGAAGATGAGACGAGAAGACTAGTTTGATCCTTTGATGTACATCAAAAGAATCTCGCGGTCACGTAACGGTAAAAGATGACAGGCTTTGGAGTCGGGCGTCTCTCCTTTATAATCTTCAAAGGACAGGAATCAGCAAAGCGATTGTTTTTTTTACCCGACACCAATCAAACAGCTATCATCGTGCCTTCGATTTTGCTATGACATATTCCGGGGGTGTAGAGAGCGAAAGTGACCGTAACCCCTGGCTATTAGGGATGAATTGGACCATGACTCCTCCTCTGACCAGGTAGCTCAGTCGGGTAGAGAGAAAGCACGGCTTGTCTCCGCCGAATTGTTACACTCAGAAAACTTGTTGCTCATTATAACTTGTTTATTTTATCTTCATTATTTTTCATTAAAGTCCTGTAAAGTATGGTTTTCTTTTCGTGTCTACAACAATCTTCAATACGTAGTTATAGCTATTGGCAGTGGTACGGGGTTCCCTAAGGCCAATTAGCTTCATTAGCGACTTTGCAACAGCTGTACAAATGGTCAGATAATGATATACGTCCATTAAAACCCAAAAGTTAAGATATTGCTATGCATGTATGTTAAAACAAACTTTATGAAAGCTAAGATAAATTAGTGTGAAAACTCCCATGATAAATGCTCATTGAAAATGTTATGAAAGCTCTGTTTATAATCGATGTTCTCTCATTGAAACTTTAATAAAACTCCAGATAATGGAATTTTATATGTTTGACCATTGTGAAATGTTTAGAAAGCTAAGATGATACTAAATTGACTATATGCTTTACTGAAAACTAATGAAAACCCATATATAAAAAAATGTTCGTTCATTGAAAACAAACTAAAAAATTCAGGTGATGATAAATAGACTACTTGCTAACTGAAAACTGCAAGGAAACATATATCTATTCTAATGTTCGTTCATTGAAAACAGTCCAGAAAATTCAGGAGATGATAAGTCGACTATTTTCTAACAAAACACTTATAAAATCTCATACCTGTATGAAAGCATTCTACTTGAAAACTGTTAAGATGCTAGCTGAGAACGGTAAGGAAACCTCTTATCTATATAATAAGGTTTGATAGGTACTCAATGAGAACTATCTATATGATAAGGTTTGGTAGGTACTCAATGAGAACTATCTATATGATAAGGTTTGGTAGGTACTCAATGAGAACTATCTATATGATAAGGTTTGGTAGGTACTCAATGAGAACTATCTATATGATAAGGTTTGGTAGGTACTCAATGAGAACTATCTATATGATAAGGTTTGGTAGGTACTCAATGAGAACTATCTATATGATAAGGTTTGGTAGGTACTCAATGAGAACTATCTATATGATAAGGTTTGGTAGGTACTCAATGAGAACTATCTATATGATAAGGTTTGGTAGGTACTCAATGAGAACTATCTATATGATAAGGTTTGGTAGGTACTCAATGAGAACTATCTATATGATAAGGTTTGGTAGGTACTCAATGAGAACTATCTATATGATAAGGTTTGGTAGGTACTCAATGAGAACTATCTATATGATAAGGTTTGGTAGGTACTCAATGAGAACTATCTATATGATAAGGTTTGGTAGGTACTCAATGAGAACTATCTATATGATAAGGTTTGGTAGGTACTCAATGAGAACTATCTATATGATAAGGTTTGGTAGGTACTCAATGAGAACTATCTATATGATAAGGTTTGGTAGGTACTCAATGAGAACTATCTATATGATAAGGTTTGGTAGGTACTCAATGAGAACTATCTATATGATAAGGTTTGGTAGGTACTCAATGAGAACTATCTATATGATAAGGTTTGGTAGGTACTCAATGAGAACTATCTATATGATAAGGTTTGGTAGGTACTCAATGAGAACTATCTATATGATAAGGTTTGGTAGGTACTCAATGAGAACTATCTATATGATAAGGTTTGGTAGGTACTCAATGAGAACTATCTATATGATAAGGTTTGGTAGGTACTCAATGAGAACTATCTATATGATAAGGTTTGGTAGGTACTCAATGAGAACTATCTATATGATAAGGTTTGGTAGGTACTCAATGAGAACTATCTATANATAAGGTTTGATAGGTACTCAATGAGAACTATCTATATGATAAGGTTTGGTAGGTACTCAATGAGAACTATCTATATAAGGTTTGATAGGTACTCAATGAGAACTATCTATATGATAAGGTTTGATAGGTACTCAATGAGAACTATCTATATAAGGTTTGATAGGTACTCAATGAGAACTATCTATATAAGGTTTGGTAGGTACTCAATGAGAACTTTCGGGCTTCTGTCGTTTATAAGTCGCGTTGAGGAAAAACTGTACTGATGCTATATGACAGTCATCCACGCTACTGCTTAAGGGCAGGAGCCCGAAAGTTCTCAATGAGTAACTTTCTGTAAACCTTTAAAACGTATGTTTCCCATATATCTTTGCCACTGAAAACTATTATGCCGGCGTTGATAGTGATAAATATTCGCCCATTCGAAAATGTAAGGGAGACTCGGGCATCAGTACATGTAGCATATATCAGGTTAATTGAGTACTAACTATCCGTCCTTAGAGTACTATCTGTCCGTCCTTAGAGTACTAACTATCCGTCCTTAGAGTACTAACTGTCCGTCCTTAGAGTACTAACTGTCCGTCCTAAGAGTACTAACTGTCCGTCCTTAAATTACTAACTGTCCGTCCTTAGATAACTAACTATCCGTCCTTAGAGTACTATCTGTCCGCCCTTAGAGTACTAACTATCCGTCATTAGATAACTAACTATCCGTCATTAGAGTACTAACTATCCGTCCTTAGAGTCCTATCTGTCCGTCCTTAGAGTACTAACTATCCGTCCTTAACTTACTAACTGTCCGTCCTTAGAGTACTAACTAGCCGTCATTAGATAACTAACTATCCGTCCTTAGAGTACTATCTGTGCGTCCTTAGAGTACTAACTATCCGTCCTTAAATTACTAACTGTCCGTCCTTAGAGTACTAACTATCCGTCCTTAAATTACTACCTATCCGTCCTTAGAGTACTAACTGTCCGTCCTTAGGGTACTAACTATCCGTCCTTAGAGTACGAACTGTCCGTCATTAGAGTACTAACTATCCGTCCTTAGAGTACTATCTGTGCGTCCTTAGAGTACTAACTATCCGTCCTTAAATTCCTAAATATCCGTCCTTAGAGTACTAACTGTCCGTCATTAGAGTACTAACTGCCCGTCCTTAGAGTACTAACTGTCCGTCCTTAGGGTACTAACTATCCGTCCTTAGAGTACTATCTGTGCGTCCTTAGAGTACTAACTATCCGTCCTTAAATTACTAACTGTCCGTCCTTAGATAACTAACT